GGACTTTCTGTTTTATTCTGTTATTGGTTCCTGGGCCTTCCCCCCCATAGAATTTTAATTCTGTACATATAGATTCTGTACACATAGCCTTCTTCAGCAGGTGGGGAAYTGTTGCTCTCCCTATGTCTGCAGGGATGGACCTCATTAAGCATATTCCTTCATTATTTTTAGCTTTTCATCAGCCAAACAGCTGATGGAACAAACCAAATCTAGTTTATAGCCATGCTGGACAGTTCTCCATGGCAATTGCTGCTCCATGGCATGAATTGTTATGAAAAGGACAACCTTTGATCTCTCCAGCCCTTCCAACATATAACAGCAGCTCCTGCTGTGTTTGRAGCAAAATGCTCCCTCCATGATTTAATCATGGATTAACTAAAGATCTTTTATAGAAAAACCTCTACTGTGAGCTCAGAGGGCCTGGCAGTGGAGAATTAGCATTATGAAATATAAGAATGGATTAAACAGAGGGTGAAGTTGATAAAAAACACCTCTAAAGTGTGTAATCAGTGACCTGGGCTCAAACTATTTGTGTCCTTCRTCTCTTGCAATCCTGGTGCTGCTGTTATTGGTTTTGTCTTGGGAGAAATATTTTTCTGAGTTCRTTTCACCTTGATGGATTATAATGCCATTTTAAATGTCAATTGATAATAACTGTGCCATAAAAAAACCATAATCAATGTTATCTGTTTAAACCTACAGTGTCCCTTTTATTAATATTTCCAATTTATGAGCATTTTGAGAAATCTACAGAGACAATGGGGCTAATAAATCTGAGGTGAAAGGCACTCCAGGAGCAGGCTGCGTGGGCTTTGTGCTACATCACTGCCAGCTGTTGAACTTTGAGGAGATCAGAGCAGCTCAGATGTCACTGGGGAGATTGGTGGGGTCCCTTAGGGTGGAAAGGGTGGAAGACAACCTACAAGGAATGAGGCTGCAGAGGTGATGTGGGTCCTTTGTAGCTGTGGGTGCCACGGTGTGTCTCTGGCTGCCTGAGCTCCCTGACTGCTCTCAACAGCTGGCTGAGCACAAACCCTCAGAGATGAGCTGCACATAAACACCGGACAGCTTAGAGTCTCATTTGTGAAAGGAGGTTAAAGGARCTGCTTCAGAGGCATTAGGTGGAATATAATCCCATTACTGCCTTTCTCCAGTCGAACAGAMCAGTGGGACAGGAACAGTCCTGTTTTGTGACTGACAGTGTAAACACAATATTTCTTCTTTGAGACAGGAAATACAGGACAAAAAATTCCATCGTATTGATCGTGAGTTGATTTTAAGTCAATGCATCCAGAATTTTTCACTTTCTGATTTTTTTTTCATTTTAGAAACCTCAGGGGTTGTGTGAACCTCTAGATTTGCCTGGCACAAAGAAGATGGGTTGAGAAAATCAACACAGCATGATTTTGTTCTAGAYAGCTGCCTTCTGCTTAAAGAGTTGCCCTCAGAGCTCAGCAGTCCCAGAGGAAGATGTGTTTCCTGCCTCGAGGAATTTATAGACTAAATTAGATGGGTAACACAATAATTGTAACAAATGAGACTCATCTGCATTTTCAGGTCAAACAGAAATATAAAAATATCCCCAAACTACCCAGCAAAAGCCATCATATTAGAACTTGGCAGAAAAACAACTTCTTCATTCTCTGGTAATTTAAAGGTAAATAATTTCTTGTTTTGAACATAAATAATTTGTTATATTTCAGCAACTCAATCATTTGAGAAAGGGGGTCAACTGAACTATTTTAATTTGCAAAATGTTCATTTGCATTTCAAGGATCTATTTTTTGCCACTCATCTTTATTTTAACATAATACAAAGTAAAGAAATTCTGAAGGAGCACTCGTTCCAAAGACAGTATTTAATCTTTTCTTTAGTTAATGAAATTGTATGTATGACTATTTTTCCATTTCTGTATTAAAAATAGTAAAATGTTCAAGTCTTTTGGTACTACTTAAACATTTTGATATCAAACCTGCATTTTTTTCTGAAGAAACCTTTGTACACAAAACATGGGATTTATACATCATTACAGTGCTGCTTTCTAATCCCCTTTGAAGAGTTGCCACTTATTTATCCTATTTCCTATTTTAGTTCTTGTTTTGTTTTCCAATACAGAAGAACAAAAATGTATTTCTCAGTTGGCATTGCCTTCAGTTTTAATAAAAAAGTACAATACAATGAGGCAGAACAAAAATAAAGCCTTCACAAGGACACTTTCAAGTTGTAAATTTGCATGTGAGCATCTAATTTAAACACACAAAGAAAATCAACTTGTCACTGCAAGCAGCAGGGAGGTTTGAAATTGCAGACTGATACAGAATAGTTATAAAAACATGTACAATTTGATTTTGTGACATGGGGCTACAGAATCTTCTCAGCAGGTGCCTGCCCAGAGTAAACGGGTGGTAGGGGATACAGGCAGTGCAAATACTCTGAATATGGGATAATGCTGAATTCACTTGGTACATGTTGCCAATGTGACCACAGAATGAAAGTATTTCACTGAGATGGAAACTTGGAGTCTGCCTGTCTYAACTCTATTTACTTCAGAGATTTTTAACATGAATGCACGTGTATTTCTGCCAGAAGGTTAGGTTTCTTCCTTTCAAAGCAGTGTGTGTTTAACTCAGCAAAAATGGAGTTGGGACAAGAAAGAGGGATAGGAGGTGTATTTTTTTGCCCTGAGAGTCTCTAGGCTAATTTACCCAGTTATTTTACCSAAAGATATGAAGTGTCTCATGAAAAGTACTGGGACCTATCAGGCTTTCCTGTGAAATCCTCTTCTTTCTCCTCCTCCTGCCCCTGCAGCAAGAAATTAGCCCCTTCAACTTCTAGGTTTTAACAACAAACCAAGGCCAAAACTTTCCAAGGAAAATGTGGCCTTGCTTCATTTAACAACTGAAGCAGAAAAATCCATAGGCTTCACTCCTGCACCTGTAWAAATCCTTTGGAAAAAATGGACAGCAGGAGAAGCTTAAAAAACAGAGGTCTCTAGATCTGTTTTTCCTGYGCCTGAAACTTTCAGGTAAAAGGTAGCACAGTAAACATCAGARAGTTCAGACACTGTAATGTGTAGTAAATTAATACAGTAAGGGCTGGGCCAAGTACTCTCAACTTCAGAAACCTGGGAAGTGAGTAAGATTTGAAGCCGTTGCTCTATAGGAAGCCAGAAAGCAAGAAGAGTGGCTCCCTTTTTAGTGCCTCAGGCAAACAGAGTAGAGAAAGTAAGGTGTTTGTAAAAGAATGCACTAGGTTTCTCCTTGTGCTTTTTCATGGGTTTTGAATCAGGCATCACAAGGAGAAAGGGGAACCCTGTTATTAAATAGGCAGTTTTAATCCACAGTGTAGATTCAGAGCACATTTCTTTCCCTTCTCTCTGCATAAAGCATGCTCACCTTTTCTCAGTCCAGAAATCAACCCCTCTCTTTCTGCCTAAGCAAAAAGGGGCAGACATCCCTMCTTCTGTGCCCAGTTGGGATTACAGACTGGCAGCAAAGCTGGAGAGGGSGAAGCTTGGCTAGAGAGGCACTTTTCCACATGCAGGGATTGAAACAGGAAGATGTTCCCTGCTTCGTGGAGAAGGCCACGAGACCTTTCGCAGCCACACGACAGCTGCCACCTCATCACCTGACCAGGAAGGCACGAGATCCTCCTTTATGGACACGGCAGAGGGATGCAAAGGGAACAAAGGAAAACGCTTCYCACTCCACCCCACGTGTGTCATCTGTGTAAAAGATGCTCACTTGTCATCCTGTTAATAAAATCAGATCATTAAATATACTTCATCACAACTGGCTGCACCATTTTGAACCTCTTCCATTGTTCTTTTCATTGAAAAACCCCCACCATTTTTCCCGTATCTAGAATCTGGAAAAAGCCGAAAGCCTTTCATCTTATCAGGTGTGGTTTATTGCCCCTTGGTTACACAGTAATTTTGGTCTCCACACCATGAAAAGGTCATATGATGGGATATCAGCTCAAGAATTGTCAGTTCACTGGACAAATAAGGCAGGGGCTGCCAATACAATTATAAGAGCCTGATAAGGAAGGCACAGAGAAGAACCAGCAGGAGAGAGAGAAACAACCACAGCAATTTMAAAGGTGAGGGGCAATCACAGAAGCAGGCAAGAAATACTCCTGGGGGGAGGGAGAGGGAAGGAACGGGAGTGTATCTAACCACATTCTTCCCAAAATAAAAATTAACAAGAGGATAGAAGTGGCTGAGGAGAGGAATCACAGGTATTCACCCACATTAACCAGGGAATCTCCCACTGTGCTGGATATCTAATTGGGAGGCAGAAGCAACTGGTGGGATGATTATCAATCTAGCTTGCCTCATAACTCAGTATAGAAAGAAAATAATGTTTTCTCTTTAAAAGTATAGGTGGGGGGTAGAGGGCACTAATTCCTATTCCTACATGTTGCAAGGGCCATCTGTTTTTCTCTTGTGACTAATAGGATGGTATGATGTTGAAAAGCACCTGCTTGGAAAGTTCAAARGGTTTTCACAGTAGGAAAAAAGTACAAAAGTACTGGTACAAATGCAGTGGGCTTTTCGCAGGTTTCAGCTTGAAAGCAGAAAAAGAAGATAACTGCCCCACAAACAGCATTTACCAACAAGAAGCARCCCTTCCCAGAGCACTTTTCTCCTGGGACTGCGAGGAGGACACCTCCTCCTGGAGTGGCCCTTCAGTAAATCCCAGAGTCAGGGGCAATGCTCGGCAGCGGGTGGGGTTGGTAAGATTTTAACCCCCACTTGTAACATTGTGTTCCCCATCCCCAGGGGGTGCAGGGCTCGGTCCCGGGCTGATCAGCAGCGAGGAGCGGGCATGTGTGACTTGTGGGTCGCCTTTGTTTCTCCTCCCAGCGCTGCCGCGGGTCACCCGGGCGTGGGTGGGGAGGGACGCGCACCATCCCCGCCGCATGTTCCTCGGGGTGCACCGACACCCAGCACAGCGCCACGGGGCTCTGTGACCCACGGCCACTTGGGCAGGACTAGGATGGACCCCCGGCTGTGTGCTGGACAGAGGAARCCCAGCCTGTCCTTTTCCATTGAGGAAATCCTAAAGAAACCTTCTCCAAGCACTGGCCTGAGCAGTGAAATCAGGAACAGGAGAARTTCCGCTGAGAGAGCTCCGTCCCTAAAAGTGGAATCACCTGTAGCCTTTGGTAAGTACCAGTTATACCACTTAATGAAAATGTTCCATTCTTTTTGATCCCTAAAGTTGTCAGGTTTAATTATGTAGAATTTTTATTCTTTAACTTTTATAGGAATCTGGGATTTCCCTTATCAGGTCCAAATCATTCATTATATATATAGAAATAATATTTTTTACATAATTTGGTTTCATCCTCACAGTAGATTGGACTCCAGGGTTTTGTACATTTTAAAGCCTCRATGTCACTGTAGAGGTGAGTATGCAACCAGAAAAGTTATTGCAGGTAGCTCTCTTCAGTAACAGCAAGGAGTGCTTMTTGTAAAAAATACCCTTTAAAAAACAAAACTTTTGTAATCTGGGGTTGGGAAAGAGACAAATAAATGCCTGTCATAAGAGGGACAGGTATTCAGATTCAGGAAGCAAGCTTAAAAAAAACTGCTGMGACTTAACAAAWTTTTTGGARTTTCACTTAAATCAGGACTGYTGTCTGGAATTACAGYCARATCTTGTATCAGCACCCTTTTCTGRTAAATTTGACCACTCATCCTGAAGCGGGAGAAATGGTCTGTAAGGGTAATGGGAGCTATGGAAGTGTTGGAASTCAGTTGCTGGAATAAGAAAAGAGAAAGCATGAATGTGTAATCATTTCTTCGTATCATCATGGACACTAGGTTCTTAAATGAACTAAATAAAAGYAGCTAGTAGAAAATTTGCATGATTTTCATCTTTGCAAACCAGAAAGTGCAGTACTTTTTGACTTCRGTTTTCACCGTTTAGTTACTGTGGCCTTGRGTGAACTTTTGCCCCCACAGAAATYGTCTCCTTCTTTCGTTAAACAAGGAACAACGTCCAGCATTTTCCAGATTTAGTATTTCTTCCTCTTTTTCAACATGCATCTTCCATGAAAAATAGATGTTTTATGTATACAGGCCAATCCACTTAAATAAAAAACGAGCTGTAGTTTTGACACTCAAATATTCACTCACTGCTGATTCAACTGCTTTAAAAAAAGCTTAATGCTGTGCTTCATTTTTTGTAATACAGAGAGATTCTTTCATGGATTAGGGCCCCATTTCCCAGGATACTGGATGAACCACCCATTAGTAAAAGAGAGACTTTTCCCAAAAAACTGACAGTCCAAGAAACCATTGCCTATTTGCATAGTTTCATCTCATTTTATGTCCAGATTGGATACTGACCTGCACTGAAAAGCAAATAAGACCTAAGTGGTGAGGGGAACCACTCACTAGTCCACTGGCTGGACTCAAGCCCCCTTAACGCTCACTCTCTGTCATACTTTGGAAAGATTTGGACTTTTTATTTTGTTCATCTCTGACACAGAATAACTTTTCTCCTGACTGTGTGGCAGTCAGCTCACCACTCACCTCACCTCACGGCATTGGGGCTGAATATACCACTGCTGCCTTGTGCCACTGACTGGCTTTCTATGGAAACCTCTATGGGGAAGAGACAGAGCATTCTCCTGTTTTTCCCAGAACCATAGGAAAACTGAGGACTGGGGGGGGTCTCTCAAGATCATCTGGAGATCCAGCTCCCTGCTCAAAGAAAATGCTTTTTCAAAGATAAAACAAGGTTGCTGAAGGCCATGGCAAGTGTTGTTTGCCTATTTTGCCACTGGTACCATTGGAGGACTGCAGCATTTAGAGTTARTGAAAACAGTAAATACATGTGAAGATTCACTTAACTGCTCTGGAAATGAGGAAACAGGAAAGCTGTAGAAATCTTCCAAAATTGTACTTTGTTGTGCTTTGTTTTTGCAATTGATCAAAGATGTTTAAAAAAATGAGAATGAAAACAAAACTTTTACAATGTTTGTTTCTTACCTAAGAATGTGATACCTAGGCTTGTTACCCTTCGCTTTCTGAGCAGAACTGTGGTTTCTTCAGATAAATTATATTTATTTCACAAGTGCAATACACAAGTGTTGTACATCTTGGGATTATTGCTGTATTTCATCGAAATCATTTAACTTCATGCCATGTAACACTGGCATTAAACAAGTTATGCAAATTGTCAGCCACATGTAGCATGGATCAGTGCTGGCTAAGGTCAGGGGATTGAAATGAGCTTGGGATCTTGCTGGAAATTCCAGGATGGGATACAAATCCAGCTGCTTTCTCATAACAGTTCAGCAGCAGCAAAGAAGGAATTACTACAGGTGAGGGCTCAGTTATGTCTTCCTATGGATTTTAAGAAATTCCATATGGTATGTACCTGAGCAAAGCCATAATTTGTATGAGAGATGGGAAGATCCATATGGCACCCACATACATACTCATAGCTACAAAAGTTAAATGCTGACGCCAAAATTTATCATCTGATGCAGATAGTCTCAGTACTGATATCACACTTGTCCTGAAGTGAAAATGTAGCCATTCTGAGCTGAGGAGACGGGTAGGACCAGGGGACCAGAAGATGCAGAATGTCAGAAATGGCTTGAATTGGTGGTCTGATGATTGGGCTTGATGAACTTAAAGGTCTTTTCCAACCTATGATTCTAAAGAAGGAGCACAAAGATTCCAAAAAAAACCCCATGAGTGCTGGACCAGATGACTTCTAGAAGTTGCTTCTATCAAATTATTCTGAGTGTCTGACAAAAATGATGTTATAATTCACAGTSCAAGCCTCTCACAGAAAGCTGGGGCAGGACTTGATCATGTATCAGAGGATCTCTGGGCCTGACTCCCAAATTCACATTTTAGTGAGTGTAATTCCAGTGGGACTTGGAATAAGGAGTRTGCAGTCTTCCCTGTATTTGGCTCTTCAGTTGCAGTGTTAGCCATGGGCGAGTTCACTGCACAAACAGTGAACTCATAGAGGACCTGGAGCCACAGCTGTTGAAGCTTGCTGAAATCTTTGAAAGACTCTTACCAAGTTAAAAACTGAGTATTTCAGTATGTGAAATAGCAGTCTGTGCTTTTTGTTTCATCCTTTGTCACAATGCCTAAAAAGGGTAACCATGGCCTTCGCAAGGGACACAATTAAACCAAGTGAGTGCTGATCTCCTCCCTTTTGCCAACTCTTTCCTTTAAAACACAGAAGAATATCAGGCCTATTTCAGAAAAAAAATCATTCTGAAATTCCTGGGAACCTGATTTCAATGTACTTGAAATTACATCTGAAATGATTGTTCATTACTCCCCTGCTTTCTGCCAGTGATGTTTCACCAACAAGAGATCCTTTATCAAGTCAGGGAGAGCTTGGGATGAGAGTGTTACAGCTGGGAAATTAATAGTGAAAGCAGTAACAGATACAGTAATTTCGTCATTCGGCCTGTGTTAWGCTCCATCATGTTAAGGATATGCAAATTATAGGAATACAGCCACCACTTCACACACAAATGTCAGTATGTTGATTGCTCACCTTTAGCAGCACTCCACCCAGYGTTATCACAAAAGAGGAAACTGAAGGAATCTAACTGAACAGAAACCATCTGGCCAGTAAGACCAATTCACCCCACCTATTATGAGGAAAAACAATGCACCTGGAAGGGAAAAAAAAGGAAAGAAAGAAAAATATAGAGAAGAAAGAGAAAAACAACACAATACAAAGATGCTTTCATTTCTCAGTGATAGACTCTTCCCTGTTCACAGCCTTAGTGAGACCCTAAAATCATAAACCTTGTKCCTCCACAGGTCTGTCTCTCTGCAGTGATTACACAACAAGGTTCAAATGGAACTTAGGTCATTTGAAAGAACCTCCTGCTTTCAAAGTGAAGCCCTACTATCTTGCCTGAAATTGTCCATCCTTTCCCATGCAACTGAAAGTCAAGACAAAATAACCATTTTGAGCCACAAGTCAAAGTAATTTCTGT